CTTTTCAGAAGCTTCCTCATAATCAAGAGATGGAAATTTGAGCATATTTTGATTTATTTTTTTAAATAAAGATGTAAATAAAACATATCTTCCAATAACTTAATTTCAAGAATTAATCAGGGCAATATGCAGATGTGGGTTTAGGGGTGTCGGCTCCGCCTTATAGAGCGACATACATATACATGGTTAATGCATAGACTCTTAACAAGTCCCGCTCCTAACGTGCCTTGCCCCCTTTCAAAATACTGAAATCGCAACAGATATGCTTGTGTTACTTTCAGTAATTCATTTCTGAAACTAATTATTTCACTACAAATATAAAATAAAATCAGATGAGGTTAGATTGCCAATGAGACAAGTCTCCAACAGACACCAAATGACATTGAAGTTTACAGCCATAGGTCACCGTACGGCCTTCAAAAATGAACAAAACCCATACCGCATAGTCATCTATAAAAAGCCCCGAAATGACAAATGTAAAACAATTCAAACGAAAAAAGTAACGGTCTAGTTTATGTTCAAAACAATGAACGAAAAGCAAACAAACGACTGAATCACAGGCTCCTGATTTGGGAGAAGCACATACAGAATGGGGCGAGGTTTTTTGTTGCCGAACCCTTCCTTAAACCTTGGACAGTGCTGTAACAGTCAACATAAGAACAAACCACAAAAATCAGTTGAAAAACGCATCAAATCGATAGAAAGCAGAAACACATATAAAAATACACAGACGGACGTGGCTGGGTATTTACAGTCGGGGTACTTAGCGAACTCCACAATATTATGCAATTCCCTAATTTTAGCTGTATCATAAAAATCCATAATAGTATGAGATTGAATAATATTTCTAGTAATATTATGCAAACCCATAATTTTGAAAAATTATTGAACTGCATTATAATGACAGAAAAAAACGAAATTTGATATATCTGGAAAACGATCTTTTAGGCACTGATCAGCAGTTTTGAAATTTATTAATTCTGAAATGCTATTTTTATGACCCGCTAATGCTAATAGTCACCCGACAACTGTCGTTTTGTCCACGTCCTTCCTTTAAATGCTTAAGTCTTAACGATATAACTGTTTCACAGAATGTTCTACAAGAAAGACTCGTGTCGTCTTATATGCAATATGTTTTCTAACTTTGTTATCGTTCCTTTTTTTTTTTAATTAATCAATTTTATTGCACCTTTGCTGTTAACAATTTACTCAATCTACAGCTTCAATTAAGTATCCCTTTAAATTAGTTATTGAATATCTAGGGAAAGATATTCAATAAAGTATATCTATAAAGTAAGTTATATTAATACAGATCAATACATTAGAACAATTCTACATAATTTTTGTTTTTTTACCGGAATACGGTACGTTTCTTAACCTATACTGTATATGATTTTTTTATCAAAGCTTCACTGAACCGCGAAATTGATGATGTATTGATCTTTGATACTGATAGCATGACTCTTCAGTCGACAATAGAATTTGAACTTAAAACTTTTTGTTTTGTTTACAACACTGAATTATATAAGAAGTCTTGGATGATGAGGTAAAAATGTTTTTTTTTCACACATTATTTTTTAACAGTAAATGTTGATTTCTATATATATATATGATAAAGCCGAAGATCGAAAGTTGATCGAAAGTACACGTGGTCTTCAAATTATACATGTATGCAGTAACGCTGCATTGTGTTGTGTATTCTGCTCGCTCTCCTGCTGATTATAATTTTGCATTGTGAACAGGAATAAACATATTTAATAACAATTCTAATTCAGTGTAGCTGTAATAAATTATAAAAGAGTAAAATTGCGAATTTCAGTTAATGCACACCAATTGACTGGACACATGTGGTTAATGAGGTCACAGCTAAGACTTGTATCTAATAATTGTCATTTCATTTAAAGGAATTCGAAATATTCCCTTGTTTTAAGTATTATTTTCTTGTTTTTTTTGCTTCTGATTTTATTTATGTTAATAATGTCCCAGATTTCATTTTTGAAGATTTTGAAGATATCAATGACCTTATCTTTCTTGTCAGACATATAATATGCTTTATAGATGGAAAAGAAAATTATAGTTAATAGATAGTTCATATCAAAATAAGCTTCATCATCAATTTTATAGCCAGTTACTAAACTTTCAAGACTAAGTATATGCTTATCAATTTTTAAAAATGCTAATAGCTGGTCAACTTTATGCCAATAATGAACATTATATGAACAGGAAAAAAAGAAGTGTTTATAATCATCATGTTGCTTACAATAGAAGCACAAACCACTTGGTACTATTTTCCATTTATAAAGTAATTCATTACAGGCTAATATATAATGTATTATTTTCCATTTAAACATTTTAAATTTGTTGTTTTCAAGGTAGTTAAAAATAAAGTTAAATGTGGACTTCAATTTTGTAGTCATTTTTTTATGAAGAATTCTTTCCCACATTAAAACTCCTGTCGGTTTATCATGTGTAAATTGACTTTGCAAGAAAGTATATACTTCTTTGTTACTCATATCTGGTGAAATTTCATGTTTTAGTAGTATATTTAACTTCACTGATGTTTTTATATTGACAACAGTTTTGTAAGAGCTTTCTTGTTTTAAAATATTTTGCCAGTGCTTTGGTATAGCTTTTTTAACTAATGAAAATTCTCTAATCCAATCTTGTTTATTCTTTAAATTTTTTAGTACAGTTTCTGATGAGATGTATCCGTTTTCATCTAATATATTATTGATGTACAAAATATTACTATTAATCCAGTTTTGAAAGAACAAACATTTCCCATTTTCTTTGATAAGATGATTTCCCCATATAAGTTGTTTTCTAACCTGAAGAAAGTTTCTTGGTATGATTGTTTGACCTCCTTTTATTTCTACCCATGTTTTAATTAATTGTTTATAGAATTCAGGTAAAGATTTATAATCTATTTTATTAAGCAAATTAACATTTGTTAAATTCATTCTGAATAAAAGAAAATCTTTCCCAAATTTATCAAGGTAAAATCTTGGAATAATTTTCCAGTTATCATTTTCCTTTTTGATTAGTTTTAAAACCCATCTGATTTGTAATGATTTAAGATAGCAGTCTAAATCAATCATTTGTAATCCTCCCTCAAGATATGGTTTACATAATATAGTACGTTTAACTTTATCTTTTTTTCCACTCCATATAAAATTATATATTAAATTCTTGAACTTTTGCTTTATTTCCTGTGTTATTATCATACTTGATGCAATGTATGTTAGGTTTGGTAAAATTAAAGACTTAACTACAGTTATCTTTCCTATTAATGTTAAGTTTCGTTTGTTCCATCCTTGAATTAATTTTTCACATTTGTCTATTTGCTTTTCTGTATTTAATTTATGACATTCTTGATAATTGTATCCAAAATATATTCCTAGACTTTTAATGTGGTCTTGTTTCCAGTTTATATTTTCAAATTTATCTTTTGAATGTTTAAGTTTCCCAAGCCACAAACCTTCTGTTTTATTTCTATTCAATTTAAGTCCAGAAAGGCTTCCAAAAGTTTCAATAATGTTAAGGGCTATACTTATTTCTTTGCGTGTTTTTAAAATCAATTGAGTATCGTCTGCCAACTGACATATTTTTAGCGAGCAAGATTTTCCATCTAATTTGATTTCAAATCCTTTTAGTTTGTTATTTTCCCTTAATTTAATTGCCATTATTTCAACAGATAAAACGAAAATTAACGAGGATAACGGACACCCTTGTCTAATCCCACGGAATGTATTAAAGGGGGCAGACACCCATCCATTATTTAAAATACACCCTTTTATATCTGTATACATAGTTTCAACCCATTTAATGAATTCCTTTTTAAAACCAAATTTTTTTAAAGATTCAAACATAAAAATCCACTCCAGTGAGTCGAAAGCTTTAGTAAAGTCTAAAAATAAAATTGCACCATCTACTTTAAATTTTTCAGAATAATCAATGATGTCTTGGATTTGTCTAATATTAAATCCTATGTATCTGTTTTTTATGTAACCTTTTTGATCAGAGTGAATTATTTTTGGAAGTACTGATTTTAATCTTTGCGCTAAGGCATAGGCTAATAATTTAACATCATAATTTAATAATGTGATAGGTCTATAGTTATCAAGGGAGAGTGGATCATTTTTTTTATACAAAAGAGATATAGCTCCAATTTTTTGGGAGTTGGTTAATTCACCTTTTTTAAAGCAATAATTGAAAACGGGTACTATCAAATCTTTAATTTGTTCCCAGAATTTTCTATAAAACTCAACATTTAGTCCGTCCAAACCTGGGGCTTTGTTCAGTTTCATTTTAAATATAGCCTCTGTGCATTCACTTATAGTAATTTTTCCTTCACATATATTGCTTTCATTTTCATCAATTTTTTTACATTCTTTAATAGTTTCAAAGTACTTTCTTACCTCTTCTGTGTCAGGTTTTGTTGAAGTATATAATTTAGTATAATAATTAACTTCTAGATTTATTATTTTGTTTTGGTCATATGTTACCTGTTTATTTTCATCATACAGTTGAGTTATAGTTTTTTTACTTTGCCTTGTTTTTTCTAGGCCAAGAAAAAAGGATGTGTTTTTCTCCCCTTCTTCTAGCCATTTCACACGTGATCTTATTTGATTTCCTTTAATTTTTTCATTATATAAGCTTGCTAATTGTTTTTCTATATTTTCTTTTAGGTTAATTTTCCTCTCATGTGTATTGCTGTCACAATCTATTTCAGCAGATAATGTTTTTAATGTGTTTTCTAAAATTTCAATATTATCTTTTTTAATATTTGCTTTTAATTTACAGTATTGAATGGTATAATCCCTTACCTCAACTTTAAAATTATCCCATAAAATATCTAGGTTAAGAGATGTTTCTGCTTTTGTTTTATATGTATTAATCAACTTTGAAATAATTTTTTGATACTGTTTATCATCTAGGATGCTACTGTTTAATTTCCAGTAACCTCGCCCTTTTGAGTTTCTATTTATGTTGATTTTTTAATGAAACAGCGTAATGATCAGTGTGTTGAAGTACTATTGGTCTTATGTCGCATGAAATGCAATTTTTATTAACTTCATCACTTACTAAAAAATAATCAATTCTTGTAGATTCTGAAAAGTTTTTTCTTCTCCAGGTAAATTGGGTTTTATTTATGTTTTTGCCTCTCCAGACATCGGTTAGTTTTAGATTCTTAATCAATGTCTTGAGGTTATGAACTGGTTTATCAAATTTTTTATTTCCTAATTTTTTCTTGGTATCTTTTATAGATAATATGTCATTGAAGTCACCCCCAATTATTAACTGGCCAATACTATGATCTTCAATTAATTGTTTTACTGATTTAAAAAAAATATTTCTTGTTTTACAATTATTAGGTGCATATAGGTTCACTAAGGTGTATATATTGTCATCTATTTCTATATTAACTAGTATGAATCTACCTTCTGAGTCTTTATATTGGTCAATAAGCTTGTAGTTTAATCTGCTTTTTATCCATATAGCCACCCCTCTTGCATTACTTAACCCATTATTTAAAATTAATTCACCTTTGAATTCTTGTTTTAACTTTGATTCTAAGGTGTAAGTAAAATGAGTTTCTTGTAGGAATACTATATTACATTTTTGTTGATTAGCCCATTCAATAATTCTGTTTCTTTTTTCAGATTTTTGTAACCCGTTGGTATTTACGGTGCAGACATGGATACAGTTTTTATGTATCATATTGTATTATTATTAAGAAGGTGAGCTAGTATAATTAAGGAGTTCTGTTAAGTTTGAAAGTAAGTTGAACCTGTAAATCCACATGAATTTGAATTTAAGATTTTATCTTTATCCTTGCTTTGTTGGTTTTTTTTGTATGACATTTTTATCAATATTAAATTCTTTATATATGTACATCTATATACAACCATAATTATCATGATTATTAATGTGCAAACATTACACAACATATCAGTTACTGACCTCAATATATAGGTCGTGAATTGGGTCAACAATGTGACTTGAAATACAGACCCCTTTGTGTCCAAACAAAAATATTTTGGACTCATTAAGTTTGTATACATACATGCAAATACAATCAATAGAAAAATATATACAAAGATGATTAATAGAAAAAAACATAACTTTAAACTAAACACTATATAAACAATATTGTTAAATGTTTTTACATGTACTATAAAAATACATACTGGACTATTATTTACATGGTATTTACAGAGCCAATGTTGCATAGTATTGTTGGCTACTTGATAAGCTAAGTGAAATACTAGTATGTTTATGATCAATGTTTGTATTATATGACTTATGAATGTTTTAGTGTCAATTATAATAATCGATCTATGTTTTGATTTTTGTAGGTGTACTTTATCCTTTTGAGGTTTGGTGTATGGATTCACAGATGATAATCCCATATCCGCTTTAACCAAAACTATTGAAGGATTTATTACAATTATATAGGAAAGAGTTAGTTTCCGACAAGCTTTTTGAAAACATATATGTGAAGTGAATGTACATATGCAGCTTTGCAATAAGTGATAAAAAAAGACACAAAGAATTTTAATAATAAAGAAAAGATCTAAAGATGTTGAGATTGTGCACACGCTGCTTACCACTGGATGTGAGAAATTGTACATAGTTACAAAAGGATTGTAAATTACTAATAAGAGAGGAGATATTTAGTTGTGATTATATAGACTGATAATTGAGTGATATAGAATTAAATGATGACTTATAGTTTTATGGTCTATTAATTTTTGAATTGTGGTTAAATGATACCTGTAATGATAATAAAATATTAATTTAATACATCATTATATTCATATTGTTGTGTTTTTGATTCTTGGTAAATTAGCTACATGTATGTATATAATTAGGTATCAGTTGTTTTGGACCTCTTGGCAGTAGAATCACTCTCTTTGTCGTGAAGCTTCTCAGTTGGTGTTACTGGGGACTTCAGAAATGTAATACTAACAGGTTGTTTTGATGGAGTTTGAGATTTTTTGGTTGATTCTTGTGTGCTCTGATTACCGGACATGAATGAGGTTATTTGAGCTTGACTGGGATTACCCTTTTTATTACTGTTCTTTTTTTTTTTTATTTTCTTTCGTTTTTGTGGATCAGCTGCAGGATTGATAATAGATTGCGACTGTCCATTGTCATCTTCACATCCAGTAGTTGATGCACCTTCACGTTCAGTAGATGATGGGCCTTCATGACCGCTCACTCCTGTAGCTGATGCACTTTCACATGTTACCTCATTGTTGGTTTGGACGGATATTTGTGTTGCATCAGTGCCAGTTTCAGATTCAGAAGTTTCATCATCCGCATCACTTGTTTCATTGTTTTCTTTATCTGATTGTTCGGGGACGTCTGAGAAAGTATCCTTGGTACAGGCATTTTGTTTGTGTCCTTCTTGTCCACATGATCTGCATACCCAATCATTGGTACAATCTTTTGTTTGGTGACCTTCTTTCAGACATTTCGAACATTTTTTATTTTGAAAGTTGTTTTTAGGCTGATCACGATAGAGGATGGTGGCTCTATATTTGCCAATGAGAATGGATCTTGGGATGTGCTCTGTTAGCGGTCCATCACAAATGATGATCCTGTCTCCGGTTAGGCAGTTGGTCAGTTTGTAGTTATATCGTAATCGTTCTCTAAAGTTGCTCAAAATTGAGCAACCATATTTTTCCAACTCCCTAATAATTTGTCCGTCGTCTGCTGAAAGAGGTACGTCTTTTACTCTTATTCGTACATTGTTGATGTTTTCATGTGCAGTCACACGTGGATTTCTTGAGTAAGTCCAGACTGATTTACCACGAACTGTGATGCATTTGGATATAAGGATATCTCTTTCAGATTCGTCATCAAGGTAAATTCTCCATAAGCCTCGGATTCTTTGAAGGCCAATAATTGTTCTATCGGGTACAACTTCGCTGACAGCTTTGTACATTTCAGTGTGTGTCAGGTATAATTTTTTCAGAGTCTCTCCTTCAGATATTGATCCAAAGACATCTGATTCCAATGTAAATACTGGTTTAACACTAACCATGTCTGAGGGTTCAATTGTTTTAGGGTCTTTTTTAATTTTTTCTGCATAGGACGCCATTTTGGGTTCACTTTCTTCATTAGATTTTGCCATAACTTGCTTGAATTCAGCTATTCTAAAGTTTTTTTTTCTACAATTAGTCACTTAAAGACTAGAACTACATACAAGCAAGCAGCTATAATACTATGAAGTGATTGTCGATGAGAAAACAAAGTAAATTACGATTTTTGTCTTTAAGTAGTTACACACCCGATACCTTAGTCAAGGGCCGTAACTCCATCTCTTGTTATCGTTCCTTAGATATAGAACTATTCGTCTTGCAGGAATTATTTGGGTCAGCCTCGTCTACAATCCATGAGCATTGTGTCATGTTGAGGTAAATTTCATTGATGAAGGATATTATTATTATTGATTGATACAATTTAATTTTTATTTTTCATTTAGCTACATCTATTTCGAATAAAAGTATTTTACTACATGCACAGAACTTGTTAGTTAATTCTAAATTCAAATGTTACATTTTTCTTCTTAATCAGCATCTGAAGCATTTAACCAGAGGTGGATCCAGGGGGGGGGGGGGGGGGGGGGGGTAGAGAGCGAACACCCCCCCCCCCCCTTTCCCTTTTTATAATCGCCGAAAAAATAATAACTTCTTTTGAGTGTTCACAATAAAGTAATATATTCCTACTAAGTACGACATTGATAACATATGTATACCATGAATATGTATTCATGCCAGTAAGAGAGTACGTATAACAGCATACACGTCTGTGTTGAAAGAGGGTTTGTATTTTCGATGAAGCTTTTTTCATCGACTAGAAGCTCAAAATTGCTTTAAGTTTAAATGAAAAGTTGAGAATAAATCTAATCGAGAAAGAAATATACTAATCACTACTTGTTTGAACAAAAACTTTCCTTGAAACAAAGGCAAGTAAGAATACAATTTATATATTGATAAATAACAAGTAAATATGTATAACTCATGTATTTCAAAGTCAGCAAATATTTAATAACAAATATCCATGAGTATGATTTAATCATGTTTTTTTCTATACACAACATGTCGGAAAACAAAATGTATTTATATTGATTTGGGAAAATCGCAACCTCATGATATATAAAATTGGACAACAGAAAGTATAGATTTTAATAGTTATATATGCACCAAGGTCAGTAATACTATACTAATAAGTATGACAGTGTGTAAAAGAATTAAGAAACAGCTGACAGAACTTTCTTTTAAAATCACAATGCATACGCATAGCAGAATGAACTCAAAATATGAACTTGTTGTTGCTTGTAGCTTAATATCTGAGTGCAAACTGTCAATATAAGTTTGACATTGTGCATGATGTTTAAATTGAATTTAAAACAAGTATATTTGACTTTTAGATGTTTTGGTTATAATTGCCACACATGTTAGCTTGTTTATATTTTCCAAAACAAAATATTGTTATCTTAGTTCAATTCAAATTGTTTCATGGTCTACCTTTACATAGAACTATATTCAAAAATGTGTAAGAAAAAGGATAATACATGATAAAAATAATAAAAACGTTATTCACTAAACAAATAAAAAAACAGTTGATACTCGTCTGATCGAATATAGAAAAAACGCTACAAAACGTTTTACATAAAAGACGAACAAGTGTGTCATTACATAAACTGACTGCCTTAATTATGAAGTTGATGTTGTGCATGTTTGGCACTCCGGATATTTGCTTCAAATGTACCTTAAAAGTGTTTTTTTTTAATAGACCAAATACACACAAAATACTTTAACCAATAAATCAAGATTTATTTTACAGTTTAAAAGGTATTAAATGCTTGAATTGAATTTAAGAAGTGTCACCGTGTCTCGTTTGTATTGATTTATTTTTTGATTTTTTTTTTACAGATCGATACCTTTTTGCAAAGATGTTGAATGTGAGAAAGTACCTAACAGCCACGTTCGCCTATTCTCCAGGACCCAACACATCGTGTTTCTGCAGTACAGAATAGAACAAGTTCTATGATGTCAAGTGGCTCATATGAAGGTTGGGTGCTTCTTCAGGGGTCCTGACCCAGTCCTTTATGCTGTACTAAGGTTTGACTACCGAGTAGTCAGTATTTCTTTTAATTTCCGATGTCTCCTATACGCAACCATTGGTGGTTTTGGAATTAGTCCCCTACATTTGGCATTGCGAAGTAGCTTTTTTATAATGTTTACGCAAAGCTTTATTTATATTTCCTAATTAAAAGTGATATTTGGTTACAAATACTAATGGTATCTGCTTGTCAGATTCTTGTTTAAAGAGGTGTAACTCTGATCGTTCGATATTGAGAGCCGATTCATAGTTACGATATATTTCATGCTCCTTATATCCTCTGTGCTTAAGATGACCTTTGAATTTACAAATTGTATCTTTTAAATTCTGTGTGTTACTGTTGTTTCGATGGTGGCGAATAGCGTCCCCTTTAATAAATCCAGAGAAGACTGTTGGGTTATGCATAGACGTCCTATTTAAATACTGAAATGTATTAGTAGGTTTGGTGTAGCTCTTTATATCGAGCATACCGGTGTTCTTGAACCTCCATACTAGCGCCTATTTTCTGTACAAAGTGTCGGTCATTAAATTCAAAATAATTGTTCCTCAACACTGTGGCTACTAACGATTTAATAGTTTCACAGCTAGGTAATTTTATCGGATAATCATCTTTTACTGTCATGCGACTGTCATACAAATGTGAAGTTTAGCTAGCTATATAACCAGGTTTAATCCACCATTTTCTACATAGGAAAATGCCTGTACCAAGTCAGGAATATGACAGTTGTTATCCATTCGTTTGATGTGTTTGAGCGTTTGATTTTGACATTTGCTTAGGGACTTTCCGTTTAGAATTATCCTCGGAGTATTTTTGTTATTTTACTTTTTACTGAACTGCTATAAACCCGTCCAACAGATTGAATGAGTTCATTGAACTCCATGTTGGTATACATGCTGGTGCAGTCAAAAGAGATTAAAAGGCAATCCCAATCAGGACTTAAATTTTCTATTTTATTTATGGAATCACCACTATCTCTAATATAACTGGTTTGTATTTTAACTATGGGTATCAAAAAGTAATCAATAAATTTGCTAACCCTTTTTGTGACAGAGTTGCATTTAGAAATAATTGGTCTGCATGGGGGCAATTAATTTACTGCCATCGTTTGGTTTTATAATCCCTTGAATAAGGTTGTCACTTAATTTGTGAAGTTTAGGAAGAAGGTCCCTCTTTTGATGAGCTAAGGAGAAAATCAAGAGTTACCCCATCAATCTCACAATTGTCAAACATCCTGCTGATTTGTGTTTGTATATTATTTCTAATCAGTAATAGATAAGGTTCTTGTATCTCCGTGTAATGGATAGAGTTTAACTGCCTTAACCCTTCTTTAATGTAGTGTTTCTTTTTAGATATTACAATTGCGCCTCCTTTGTTGCTCTTAGAGAAAGCAATTCATGCATGTTTTTCATATATCGTAAGCCTAACTATTGTTCTTTAGTGAAATTGTAGTAGTTATTTTGTAAATCTAGATTAGAAAATTCAAATTTTGTGAGATCTTTATAGTTGTCAAATTCAAAAAAAGCAGGTGTTGGTTCATAAAATGATTTTTGTCGGAACGGATGCATTTCCCGCCTTCTGTATTACCAAAATGATAACAAGATATAAGTTTTCTGGCAAATTCATTGAAGTCTGTCATCATAGTTCTGCCTATTTTATATTTCTTAACCATAGGTATAAATCTTAAA